GAGCCTGGGCCCAAGCCCTGGTCTGCAGCCCACTCCTTGTTTGTGTAAACCCTTCTGATCCCAGTGCCTCCTCCTTGAAGGAGAGTGAGGAGAGTGGGTAGTAAAACCTGCCCTGTGATCGGAAAGGTCAAGTGACTTGATGCGAGGAAGAGCCACCAGCCCCTGCCACCCGCTACGTCCGGAGCAGCCGCCGCCAAGTCCTAACAACAACATGGAGATGAGGAAACAGCTTCGAGGGGGTGGTGTGTGTGCAGTGTCACAACCAGCAGAGTGACCTCAGAGACAGAAAGAAAAGGAGGGAAGGAGGGGCAGGTGCTGGGGGAAGCCACATGCTCTCTGCGGCCGCCAGCCGCCAGCACGTGTCAGCATGCAGGAAGGAATGGACCCAAGGCTACAGAAAGGCCGCCAGGACCACGCACTCGGCAGGGACGCCACACCCAACATCAGCCACACAGGTGCCTGCACCGCTACCTACAGACACACGTTTACACACGGCACCTGCACCGCTACCCACAGACACACGTTTACACACGGCGCCTGTACCACTACCCACAGACACACGTTTACACACGGCGCCTGTACCACTACCCACAGACACACGTTTACACACGGCACCTGCACCGCTACCTACAGACACACATGTTTACACACGGCGCTGCACCGCTAACTACACATATTTTTCAGTATCAAATTGGTGTATTAAATGTTACACCAAAATCACAAGCAACAACAAAATAGATAAACTAGACATCCTGAAAATTAGAAAGGACACCACACAGGTTCCGGAATATAGAAAGAACTCTTACAGCCTCTTAACAAAAACAGCTAAAGAAACGGCAAGAGACCTGAACAGACGTTTCTGCAAAGAAGACAGAGACGGCAACACAGGCCTGGAAGCCACTGCACATTGTCGTTGTTGGAGACGCCAGTCAGTCCACAGACGCCCCCGCCCGCTGGGATGGCGGGAATCCAGGGCACGGTAATCACCAGTGTCTCGCGGAGTAAGGCTGCCGGTGGGCTGTGGGCCAGTAACTGCTGTGGGAGGCTGTCGGCAGTTCCCGAGCAGGTCAAGGTAGTTATTACATGCCCGGCTCTTGCATTCCTGGGCATTTACCCATAAGAAATGGAAACATACGTCCACCCAAAACCTGGTAGGTGAATGTTCCCAGCAGCATTATTCTTAGGGCCAACAGGTGGGAACAGCCCAAATGCCACTGAGTGAAGAATATATGAACTGTGACCTAGCCACACGATGGAATATTGTTCTGCCTGAAAAAGGAGTCAGGCCCGGCCGGCACGCTCAGTGACTGAGCGTCGACCTATGAACCAGAAGGTCACCATTTAATTCCCAGTCAGGGCCCAGGCCCAGGTTGCGGGCTCGATCCCCAGTGTTGGGTGTGCAGGAGGCAGCCGATCCATGGTTCTCTCTCATCATGGATATTTCTCTCTCTCCCTCTCCCTTCCTCTCTGAAATCAATAAAAATTATTTTTTTTAAAAAGGAGCTAGGACCTGGCACCTGCCACAACTCGATGAGCCTTGAGGACGTGCGGCTGAGGGAGAGAAGCCACTAGAGAGCAGCATTTCGTGATTCGATTCATTCGAAAGCCCCACAACATGTAGACACATGGAGACGGTTGGGGCCAGCGGTCGTCCAGCAGAGGAGGGCAAGGAGAAGTGGGAGGCAGCAACCTGTGCACAGGGTCCCTCACAACGCTTTGCTACGTCCTCCCTCGTCATGTGGATGAGCTGCCCTCGGAACTAACTCTTGTTCACACCACAGCCTGCGGCGAAGGGTTTCTTTAGGTGTCATTTTGCTCAACATTTTACTCAACGTTACAGAACCTATAGAGGCCGTGAGTGAGTGAGGACTTAGGGTTCACAGCCTCTCTCCGCAGTAATGGGCAGGTCCTAGAACTGATCCTGGTGGCAGACACGCAATTCGGCGCGCACACTCATAGCACAGAACTATACACTTCACCTGGGTGATGAAGGTGATATGTTAATTTTCTATATGTATAAAACCCTAATGTGCAAATAGATTGGACGGCGGAACACTGAACATCCGGTTGCTATAACGTGCACTGACCACCAGGGGGCACACGTGGAATGTGGCAGGCATTGACCACGGTGGGATGGTGGAGCAGGTGAGTGGGGGTATCAGATCACAGAGGGGCGCAGGTCGCTATCATCGGGGTGAGCCTCTGGTGGTTACTGAAAATTCTTTGTTCCCGCGCGACACGGTCCCACCCAGCGCTACACCTGCTGCTGGCGCCAGAGCCGCCACTCACACCTGCGGCCAGTGCCCGGTGCGAGCCCTGATCGCTTGGTGCTGTCAGTGGGTGTGAGTGGCGGCTGCTGGCCCCGATCACCCCTGAGGGCTTCTCCACCTCCCCCTGCTCCTGAGGGGCAATCGGCCCAGCAGCTGCCACCTGCACCCGCTGCCGGCACCGGCCCATCACACCTGCTGCTGGCGCCAGCCCCAATCGCTCTGCATGGTCAGTGGGTGCGAGCAGGGCCGATGCTGTCAGCCCATGGGAGCAGCAGCAGCGGGAGCAAGGCTGCCGGCAGACAGGGGACTGGGTGCCGATGGGCTGAGACCCGCCACTGTGCTCACTGCAGCCTTGCAGCCCACAATTCCTTTCAAGGTGCATGAATTTGTGCACTGGGCCCCTAGTATCTTGATAAAACTGTTAAAAAGTCTTGCTTGAATATCCAGGAACTCCTGGGCTAATGTGTTAATTATATGCTTTTAGATGCATATTAAAAATATATGATCCACCCCGGCCAGCATGGCTCAGGGGTTGGAGCAGCAGAGGGTCTTGGGTTTGATTCCTGGTCAAGGGCATGTACCTGGGTTGCAGGTCCAGTCCCCACCTCCCAGTTGGGGTGCATGTGGGAGGCACCCAGTCAATGTGACTCTCTCACAGTGATGTTTCTCTCTGTCCCTGCTCTCTTCTACTTAAAAAAAAAATCAATGGAAAATGTCCTCACTCCTCGTGTATATATATCCCTTAAGCTTTTACGTCAGCCACATGTCACACAAATGTCCCAGGACCTCAGGCCCCACCCTCCTCATCCAATCAGGTCAGAGTATTCTGCCAGCAGTTTACAGAGAGGATCAGGTCACAGAAGGACGTTTTTTATTAAAGAGACGATTGGTCATGGATTTAATCGTTTAATGGGTTCCCTTGGGGCGGCCACAGGGTCGTGGCCATTTGGTGCCTCACGTTTACTTGGTGGCAGCTTTCATGTTTCCTGCAGCAGGACAAGCCACGCCCACAGGGTTACAGCTGAAGCGCTGCTGGTGCACAGCCAGGCGCGTCCACTTACCTGGCTGCTTTGGGGAGGGGGTAGCGCTGAGCAGCTGGGACACAGACCACATGGCCTGCAGACCCTGAAACACCCACCCTGGCCCTACAGGAGACTGCTGACCCTGAGCCGTGGGGGGGCGGGGTCCTCTCTCCAAGGGGCAGACGAAGCAGCAGAGGGCTTCCCGCTGGGTCACAGGGGTGAGGGTGGGGCAGCAGGCACCAGAGAGAAAGCAGGGAGCAGCCGCCGAGTTCACCCCAAAACACTACTGGAGGACACAGTGCACCTTCCACCAAACCTGGTGCCTGTGGGCAGCGCCAGCCCAGCCCAGCCCCCCTCCGCATCCTCTCTACACCCGCTTCGCACCTCCTGCCCCCTCCCGCCCACGCCCCATTGCCGCCGGCGCCAGCACTTACTTCATGGGCTTGAACAGGGCCTGCCCGTAGTTCTGGAACGTCATGATGAGCTTGAGCTGAGTGCCCCCCGACTTCATGGCTGCAGGGAGGCAAAGACACAGGGTCACCCGCTGCCCGACTCTCTGCTCCCCACGCAGACCACATGGCCTGGGCCCTGGGTGTGGCCAAGGGCCCCCACTCTGCTTGGGGAGTTGGGGTTCCTCACAAGGATGCCGACACGCCCACCTCCCCATTTAGAGGTTGGGGCAGAATCTCTCCCCAGGCCAACCCAAGACAAAGGGCCCAGCTTCTGGAACGGCTGGGTGCACACACCTGCCAGCCGTGCCTCCCGCCCAGATACACCCCTCACACCTGGACACCTGGACACACCCACTCTCACACACACACAGCTACACACACAGTTACACTCAGAGCTACACACGCACAGAGTTACACACACAGAGTTACACACACACAGGAGGTGAGCTGGCCGACCAGCCCTGTCACCGCACAGGGAGGACCAGGCCACCCAAGACAGGGTGGTCACAGGGGCGAAGTGAGGCAGTGTCCCCACCAGGGTCCACGCTCCACTGGGTGGGACCCCGTAACCACAGGCACCCAGAGCCTTCGGGCTGTGGTGGAGAGGTCCACGCCCGGAGGAGCCTGCAGAGGCCACGCTGGGTGGCGCTGAAGCTGCCCCACAGAACAGGGGGTGGTCGGGAAGGCCCGGGGCAGGGGAGGAGGAGAGAGCGGGCACATTTCAGCACCTGGTGGGCTCTGGTGGCCACTGGTCCCAGGGCAGGAGGGGATGGGAGCAGGTGGGTGCTGTCCCCTCCGTGTGGGGAGCTGACTAGGGTGGAGGGTGGAGGCCAGTGGAGGGGGGGGGTGGCTGGAGGAGATGAGGAAAGAGATGGAGAAAATGGGAAAATTCAAGAAATATCTGGGATGGAGGAGCCATTTGGAGGGGGTGTTGGGGTACGGAGGGGAGAGAAGAGACGAGGGTGACCCTGAGGTTTCGGCAGCTGGATGGAAGAGGAACAGCCTGGAGGTGAAGGTCGGGCCAGGTGAGCCTGGACGCCCCCGGACAGACCCAGGAGCCGGCCTGAGGCGGCCAGCGTGTGAAGAGGCCGCCGAGGGCAGAGTGTGGAGGACTGAGGAACTGAGGCCATTGCAGGGCCCGGGCGGAGCTGAGGTCAGGGAGGGTGGACACAACCTGTGAACACACCAGGGCTGAGGCGGGAGGGCGGCGCCGTGCAGGAGGCTGCGCTGCTTGAGGGCTTTGCCGTGGGGCCCTGACCAGAGTGCCCGGGGCTCCAGGGGCACACGTGCAGGCGAGGACAGCAGTGTCACCAGGGAAGGCCCTGCCCTAAGCGTGCACGCCATGGGCGCGGAGCACCCTCGTGGAACCTGCTGGTGTTAACGTGTGTTAATGTAGCATAGGCGTCCCTAATTGGCACGAGGCCTCTTGGTGCGAGCGCGCATAGAAGCTGCCCCTGACCAGCCGGCTGCAGCTGCTTTGTTCGTAAGGAAGCACATCCCACCTGCTGCTGTGTCCACGAGTTCTTCCCTATCCTGCACCCAGAGGGCTCCATCCGGGCTGAGGAGCTGGCCCCCACCAGCAGCCCTGAGCCTGGAGGCTCCGCTCAGCCCTCTATGGCTGGGCACCTAGGCGCTCATGCTTCCCAACCTCAGGGTCCCCTTTCGGTACGTGGGGTTCAGGGTGCCACCTAGCCTCCTCCAAGGGGGTCTGGGGGTCCAGACAACCAGGGAGCGTATTTGCCCTGTTGGCTGCAGGGGCCACTCACCTGGGACACAGGGATGAGACCCGTCCACCTCCTCGGACAGCAGCCCCATGAAGGGGTGACGCCGTGACACCTCGGGAGAGCACCTGACGGGGCACCCCAGGACGGCAGGTTGCCACAGGGAGCGAGTTACCTCCCTGAGGTTGTCGGTGGCCCATGGCCCCTGAGCACCAAGCCCAGACCCTGCCTCCAGGTTCCGCTCCCACCGGCCAACTCCTCCCAGTGCGGCGTCTGCTCCGGCCACGGCCAGGCTGTGTCTGAGGGCCTGGCCCTGGCATCCAGGACCGAGAGCTTCAGGCTCCACGATCCTGTGCACGCTCCTCGGGGACACAAAGCCACTTCCCTGCAAAACACTGGAGACTCCCGAGGGGCAGAGTGCCACGCGGCCTCGGACATGCCGAGCGTGAAAGACGTGGAAGCCGCCCGTGACTTGATTATTAGCTCGGCCCTGCTGGGCGGACGGTGGTTCTCTCCCGAAAACTGCAGGTGAGTTCAATTTTCTCTCCTCTCATCACGAACAATCTCGGCTCTTTAACAAGATGAGAACAGCAAGGCTCCTGAAACACTGAGGGGCCTAATGCTGCCCCACAGGACGTCCCCATTTCCACGGAACAGTTGGGGCCACTGGGTTTAACCCCGCCCCCCCAGCCAGCCAGAGGCAGCCCACTGCTCTTCCCAGGGCTGGGGACCCTGGCCTCTCTTAATAACAAAATGTTATGCAAACCTGGCTGGCTTAATCCCTCTTGCTCTGGAAGGAAATCCACACACATTGCTGCTCCCCACAGAGCAAACAATAACCTATATACATAAAAGGCTAAGTATCTGTCCAACCGGTAGCTATGATGCACACTGACCACCAGGGGGCAGACATTCAACACAGGAGCTGCCATGATGCGCACTGGCCATTTAAAAACAAACAGCACCACAGACCTGGTGCCAACAAACCAACACTCAGCTTCCCCCAAGTGGGACACAGGCCCCGCCACCACCCCAGGGCGACACCTCACCAAATCGCAGCTGACACTGCCAAGACCCCATGGTACAAAATGCAGCCCCCAGCCCAGCCCAGCCTGGAAGGGGTCGCTGTGGGTGCTGGATAATGACGTCACGTAGTAATGCCTGGCTTCCTCTCCTTAGCAACTAACCTCCTTGCAGTTTCTTCAGCCCAGGAACACAACTTGCTTTATAGCCAGGTGCAGACATTTCCCAGTTAAATATTTTACCCTTTGTTCTCCCTGCATGATCTACAATAATAATCTGCTTCATGTTGATATTTACTGCTGTGTTGCTGACAATTACCTGGAAGAGAAGTTGGGGTGCTTCACTGGATTGTTAAAAGTTTAGCTGCATCAGAAAGCAGGTCTAATGAAGCAAGTTTATTCGATACTAAGGGCCCAGTGCATGAATTCGTGCACAGGCAGGGTCCGGCCAGCTGGCCCTGATGGGGCCCATTGGGCCAGGCCTCAGAAGTCGCTCTCACTGACCACGTCCCTCATCATCTGCCACCTGCTCTCCATCTCCCCAGCCTCCACCCAGTCGCCAGCATGCAGGGCACCGGGGATCCAGGCCAGCTTTTTCTCACCCACCCACGGCCACTCCCTCGCAGTGCCCCTGTGCGTGCCCTGCTCTCGAGTCCTCTGGCCGCGACCCTTTGTCCAGCTCAGTCATTCCTAACCCTCAAGTCACATCCCCAACCGAGTGTAACGTGTTGGTAATTAACATTGATTGATGGTCAACAACACGCATCGTTAATGGTACATGTTAATATGTGTTCACAGGTCTCCATGATGCTTTGCAATTCATGGTTCATCGGCACCGAGACGCCCGTGACCACTAACCCACCTGGACCCGCCAGTGCTGCCCACTTCAGGCCACCACCCCGTGCCTTCGGGAGGTGGAGCCGAAATCGCTGCTGGCCCAGCGCCCACTTTTCTGGAAGATGACTCACTGTGGTTCTGAGAACTTTTTACTTAAAGGGAACTGAGAGCACTGCCGGGTGGAAACCAGCTCCTCCGTGGGATCCGAGGAACAACTGGAGCACACACCCGCTGGGTTTGGGGCCACAGCTGCCGTCTGCGCTAAATGGAGCGAGCAGGTGCGGGGCGGGGACGCTGCGTCAGCGCCAGGGCCTTTGTTCTTTTGTTGTTGTTGTTTTAAATATATATTGCATTGATTTCAGAGAGGAAAGGAGAGGGAGAGACAGAAACATCGATGAGAGAATCATGGATTGGCTGCCTCCTGCACGTCCCCCATGGGGATCGAGCCCACAACCTGGACATGAGCCCTGACCAGGAATCGAGCTGTGACCTCCTGGTTCACAGATCAATGCTCAACCCCTAACCCACGCTGGCCGGGCTGGACATTTGTTCTTGACCTTGGACCAGAGGCTGGAGGAGCGCTGAGGGGGCTCCGCTAGTTGCTGCTTTCTCCATGTTCGGCTCGTGGATGACCTATGGCCCCTCAGCTCTGGGCCTGGGGGGTCTGGCTCATTGGGCATTTTCCGTTCTCCGCTTCTAGGCCCCAGACACTGGGACTCACGACCGCCTTGCACTGGGGAGGAGGCGCCCTGTGACTCCCTGGTGCTGGGAGGAGGCAGGGCAACCATGTCCCCGGCACCCAGGGCCGCAGCTGAGGGCCCCAGACACAGCCTTTGCTCCTCCAGCCAGTCAGCCCTGGACTCCGCTGCCTCCACGAGGGCCAGGGCAGGGGAGAGGGGGCGCCTGTTCTCCTTGGTTCAGGGACCAGCGGGGGTTTGTCCTGACCCGTTGGCATTTCCGGCAAGAGGCTGCTCGAGTCCTCTCCGGCCATGTGGCTTCTCCTTTGTAAGTCATCCCAAGAGAAGAGCCATTAACTGTGCCCTTGATTCTTCGCATCCATGACCGTGCAGGACAGCGATTTCATTCGTGCTGACGGGAGGTGCCACACGCCCAAGTCCAAGCTGGACAGAGCAGATGACGTCTTGAGCCTTCGAAGGCAGCCACCCTGCCGGGAGCCGGGAGCCTGGCCACGAACACAGCCCTACTGGCCACCCAGGCTCATGAAGCGGTCAGTGGCTCTCAGCTGGCGACTTTGGGGACCATCCAGTGAGAAAGCATCTCGAACGTCACAGGAATCACGCTCCCCCACACAACACGCCGGGTCCAGGTGTAATAATGTGAACAACGGATGATTAAAATGACAGCCCGGGGTCGATGGCTGAGGGCAGACTCCTGAGCGGAGCACAGGGATGTCCTAGCCTCAGGCCAGCCTCCGCCCCCCCACCCCCGCCCGAGGCCTCAGTTTCCCTACCTGAAGGGTGGCAGCCAGAAGGCTGGGTTTCTGGCTCTTTAAACCGAGGGTCTTTTTTTATGCCCTCACTGCGGTGCTGGGACTTCTGTCTTCCTTTCCTTCCATTTCATGCTCAGGAGGACGGGGATGCTAACCCTTGAATCCTGGCGGGCTCTGGGCTCCCGTAAAGGGGGTGTCACCCAGGGTCCTCAGGGGGCCTTGAAGCCGCAGCCCCCTCGGCCACAGCAATGCCGGGTGGGCCCCCAGCAGCAGGCAGCTCCCCCCTGGACACTCTTGCATCCAGGGACTCCCGTCTCCACACCTGCTCATCAGGACCTGCTCGGTGAGGGCCCACCCAGGGCTCGTCTCAAGCAGCTGGGTTTTCAACCAACTGTCCAGTGAACGTGGGGGCAACACCTCCCAGGAAGGGTGGGGTCATGGGCGACACCTGCCGCTGGCCCTGGCCGGCTCCTCTCCACTCCCTGCAGAGGCGGCCGGGCCTGGACCTGGTCTCCTGGGCCCCTGCTCACAGGGGGAGGACTTTTGCTTCCTCGGGCACAGGGGGCTTTTCATAAGCAGGAACTCGCCCGGGAGCGTCTCCAGGCCCGGGCAGTGGGAGGGGGCAAGTTCCTGGCCGAGGCCCTTCCCCATGGTGCCTGGGGTGAGGGGCTTGGGCCCCCACGGAGATCACGCCACAGAAACCCACCCCGCGGGCACTTGGCCCAGCTGTTCTCAGCTCTCCTTTGCTCATGAGCCCGCGATGACCCCGTGAAGTACGTTCCGTGGGTTCACGTCCTTCACAGTCTCTGCAGGCAGACGTGTTTGTGTTCGGGGATTTCGGAAATTTCGGACGACCGCAGTGAGGCGGTGTCTGCATCACGCTCGCTGCGTGTGGGCTGCCTGGGTCTGGGCAGAGCCAAGGAAGCACCTCAACTCCACTGAGAGGGAGACAAACACGGATCACGCCGTCTCATCGGTCAGGCTTTGCCCACACGTTCAGGCTGAGCCAGGCCTTTGCTGTCGAAGGGGCTGTTTGGATTTCAGATCCGCAAGCTGGAGGTTAGGTCAAGGTTATCACCACCAGCGTCCCCGTGAGCACGAGAGGTTCGTCCGTGTGCCCAAAGCCACTCTGGTTGGCGACTGGCAGAACCAGGCCCATGCTCTGCCAGGGGCAGGGCACCCGGTCCCATCGGTGACACCTGTGGCCCAACTGGCACCGCAGAGTGACCCTGACTGACCAGCCCTCGACCAGCCCTCGCTCCGATGGACCCACTGCCCCACAGACAGGGGAGGACCGGCTGGTCCGTGTAGTCGGCTCAGGCAGCCCAGGACCCCAACGGGCAGGGACTCTCCCCAGGGCACCCTCAGCCAGAACCCTGGGGTGGGGCGCCCCAAGGCCAGGCCCCTACGGGGATGGGAGGAGGAGGGTGCCCAGGGTCAGCAAAGCTGCCTGGGAGCCCTGGAGCCCCCTCCTCCCCCCCACCGCAACTGCCCCGGGCTCTGGAGCCCTGTCCTCAGCACCAAGCGTGTCCAGGGAGGGCTGGGAGGCGTCTGCTCTCTGAGGGGAGGTGGCCCAGGCTCTGTACCCTCACAGCCCTGTCCCTGACCCTGACCCTGACCCTGACCCTGACCCTGACCCTGCATTTGCCCTAGACAAGGTGGGGGTGGGGCATGGAAGCCCAGATGCGAGCACCAGTTAATATTTTACAGGCTTGTCACGCTCACCATATTATTAGAATAAGATGCAACCTTCCTGAGAGACACGAGCCCAC